CTTTTCCATCACCTTCAATCTCAATATTAAGTAGGCCTACTCGTTCCTCTTCTCATCACACGACCGTACCATTCTAACCGTTTCTCCTGAGCAACTCAAGAACTTTAGGTGTTCCTGGAATTCTATTATAAATATTCCTGCCGTCTCGTAACTGCGTACATCGACCTCAACAAGTGCTTTCGCCACATATAGGGTCTTCTGGTAATTTTTATTAGGCTGCACTTCAGTTCCGTACATTATTGCTGGTCTCCCCATCGTCCTGTATAATTTTCCCTTCTCTCACATTAATTTTCTGATCACAAAAGGCTCCTGTCACTTTTTTTTTCAGTTCCTCCACCCTCTTTGTATCTCATGACTTATTTCTTGGTTCATTGCCCCACCTGTTAACATATCAGACCTTAGTATTTGAAGGTGTTCAATTTTTCGCTCAGCAGTCGGATCCTCACCTTTAACTTTTTATTTAAAAACAATAAACTATTTTTTTTTTTTTTTTTACCAATCTTCCCTTTGTCCATCTCTCTTCTCCATCCCTTCAGCTTCTGTGTTTTCCTTCCCTTGTGGTATCTATCAGAACTATAATACATCCCATGGAGCTTGCTATACTATTTCCGGCTTGAGTACATCCATTATCAAATCAAATATGTATGAATTTTGGAAAAGAACCTTAATAGCAACTCTTTTCTGTCCCACCAATACAAGTCTTAACTTGTGTTCTTGCAACCTCAAACGTCTTGTATACTTTTTTGATACTTTTCCCCCACATATCTTCACATACCCTCTCTCGGTGCTGTCACATTTTTTTTTTTTTTTCTAAATCCCTAAATACAAGATAAAACTCTTGCAGAAAAGGTATGTATGAGAATGAATATATGTATGACCACGGTTCATCGAGATGTAATTGTTTTTCCCCTATACTTCTCCACCATTTGCCCCAAGACAATGATCCGTTGTTATTCTACGCTGCATAAATCCAAACAGATGTTCACACCTATATCCGTTTCAAATTTTAGTCTTTTCATTGTTCTTTCCAAGATTTTCGTTGTTGAAGATAGTAACTTGTTATCCCGTTAAACGATAACTTGAAAATGATTTTTCCTTAATTGTACCATCACACGTTCCGCGCGTCTGTCGTTGTTCTTGATTGTAAACTTTCATAGGTTCCTATGTTACATTTACTACCCCATAAACTAAGTTTTACCATACTTCTTTCCATTTTTCTTCCTCTACGCTTCTTTACTTTCATGTCTGTTTATCTCTGGTGTTTATCGCTTAGCTTGTGTTCCTTCTTCTTTCATTATGTTTGTTCACCTGCCTCTCAAAATATTCTTTCCGCATATTGACATATCAGAGCTTAAGTATTTGAAGGTGTTAACCCCTGTTTAATTTTTCGCCTAGCTGTCGCACTTCCTCACCTTCGTCTTCTTCATTTAGAACCATAAACTCTTATTTTCTTTGAACTAATCTTAAACCCTCCATCTTTATCTTAACTTCACTTATATAATTCGTTTGATGTAAAGAGTAAGACGCTCTACTCCGCCTTTTTGCCAACCCACAGACCTTCTCTCCTCCCGTTGTTTCCAACTCGTCCTAAATTTCTTTTACCAATCCTGCCTTAGCCTGTACCATTTTCCTCATCGCCTCTTTATTTACTGTTTGCTCACTTTGTCAACTTTACTTGATATTCCAGCCCTTTTTCTCTGCATTTCTTCATTCTACCATATGCATCTTTTCCGTAAGGAGGGAGTGCTTTCCAGATTTTTTTGGTTATAGTTAATTATCTTCTACTGTTCTGATCATCTTCCTAATCTCCTCCCATCATTGATTTGCTTCTTCTCCAGGTCTTGTTCTACTCATTGCCTTTGCTTTGAACTTACCCTTCAATGTTGCGCCTTTTAATTTTCACCATTTTATTTTCTGGACAGCTCTCTCTGCCACAACAATTTGTTGTAGGGCTTATGTACTCTCCTTTTATCACTTCGCAGTTGTTTTTTTACCTCTTTCAGATAATTCCTTCAGTATAGCTGAAAGTCTATTTGATTCTCTCTTTCTGCAGTTACGTAGATGATATACTGATTATCCACTCTCTTGTAAAAAAAAAAAAAAAAAAAAAAAAAAAAAAAAAAAAAAAAAAAAAAAATATTGCTAAATCAGCAAATCGGTCTCATACAGTCATCTGTATCCTAAAGACCATTCACCCCCCCCCCTCTAATTAGAACTCTCTCTTTGGTATTGCACCTTATTCACTCACCCAATTGACACCAACATCCTCCTATTCCCCGATTTTGCATTTAACATGTAGCGCATATGCACACACCACATTAGAAGCTACCCCGCCAGTGCTGAACTTTACACTCACTGTCCTATCGCTTTTCTCTCACACTACATATTCCTTATTCAAAATATCTCAAACCTCGTTTACACCCGTGGATCTGCTCCACTATACTGAAGTTTACACTACTATCTCTGGTTTATTCAGCGATTCAATTTAAAGCTAACAAACTATTTTCTGGAGCCACATCCATTCTTGAGGACCAACATGTTCCGAGAGTACATTTTAAGGAGTGTCCATAGTGGTTTTGGCTTTGTGTATTACAGGCAAATGCTTGAGCCTATCGTTGAGTTGCGCCGACTTGCACCTCCAGTGGATGGTTTATTCTACAA